GGTGGGGGGTGGGGGGGGTGTGATTTCATGCATCCTGTCTCTCTGTCTCTGTGGCCTATAGCAAAAATTTATCTTAAAAAAAAAAAAAAGATTAACTTATCGTAAAATGGCTGTTTTTTCTTATTAGATCTGAAAGTACCTATCTAAAGCATGGGAACCTACACACACAATTTTGTCATACATTCTACATTATTATAGATCACAGAAATGTCTGTCTCAGTTTCACATTTTATAGCTCATAACTAATTAAAACAAGAGAGAAGAACCTCTTTACAATTTTCCAGTCTCTTATTTTTACACAACCACATATATATTTGAACCAGTCTGACAACCACAGCATCTATAATTCTAGCCTTCCACATAAACAAACACAAGGTCACAGAAAGACTTCCTCCGACTATTACAATTTGGGTGCTATTGGTTGAACTCAACCAGTTTCCTTTTGTGGGGGAAAAAAAAGAAAGGATAACTTACATTTGTCCTTAGCTATCTTTTAGGGTTGCTATAAAGACTAAATAAAATTTTCATTAACTGTGAAGTATAATACAAATACAAGATATTATGATAGATACTTTCAATTCTTTGAATAAAATTATGTATTTAAAGGGCCAAGGAATTAACTATGCCATACATGCTTACCAATTGTGAATTTAAAAAAAAAAATGGTTACTAGGAGAATTATGATTAAAGGAAAATCTATACTTAAATAGAAGTTTTCTAACAACAAAAATCTCTAAAATGATGTGATCAACAGTATTATCCTCACTTCAGAAGAAAAAGTAATGACATCGGTGTATCATTTTAGTCACCTGGTAAAATGTTAAATCACAATAAACACCCAAACATTTTAAAACTTCAACCCAAATATATGATGTCCTAATATATTTTATATTTTAACTGACCTCTCACTTTCAGTTATTTTTTAAATCAAAATTATGAAAGAAAACCTGTCCTATACTGAAAGCGCTAAACTCTCATTTTTATTAACTACATCCCCACCCCCTGAAAATATGCATGAAATGGCACAAATAGCAAAATGTAACTCTTCTCTTTCTGGCTGATCTTTAGGTGAAATGGTAAAATAACTTAACGCTTGAAGGAAGGAAAATGTGGTATCTGAAAGTTTATCATCTCACTCAGCTGCTGTCAAACCTACCTCTGGTCTGCTTATATAAAAGACGTTTTGGAACACGGCCACACCCACACTATCTATGGCTGCTTTTGCTGTAATAGCATGATGACTACTGACACAGACAATAAAGGCCACTGGCCTGTTACATAAAAACTTTGCCAAACACTGAGCTATGCAATTAATATTGAAAAGAAAATAAATAGCCAGTAAGTCAAATATTTTCGTGTGTAAGATTACTATTACTTGTTACGTCTAGAGGATGATTATGTTTCTGCTAGAACGTGGTCAGTCTGAAGAATCCCATTACCTCTATTACTACTATCCTGATCCAAGCCACACTTCTCCTCTCCCCTGGATTACTGCAATGGTCTCTTATCTGACCTTGCAGTCTCAATCTATATAATCTATCCTCAAACACAGCAACCAGAACAATCCTTTAAAACTTGTCAGATTGCATCTCTCCTTTGCTCCAAACTCTTTCAACAATCCCCGTTTCATCCAGAATAAGAGCTGAAGCCCTACTCATGCCTCAAAAGGCTTATATGATTTGAGCCATATTATTTCTTACTTTATGTTTTATTCCTCTCCCTCATTTCATCTTCAGTCACACTAACCTCTTTCTTGTCCCTGTACAACAGGCCAGAAATATTCTGCATTAAGTGTTTTAATATAATGGCCATTTCGTCTTCTTGGAACATTTTCTTTACACATCTGCATGACTAGCTTAGTGACTCAGTTTTTGCTCAAATTGCATCTTAAAATGAGGCCTTCCTAGGCAACCCCACCTGCAACCCCCTATTCCCTTACCTCCCAATTACTGTATCTGCTTAATTGATACTATACTACATTTATTGTCTGCCCACCTACCCTACAGAGGCTCAGCTGCAAAGACCTGCAGACTGGTGTAGGTCCAGGAGAAGGGAGGTTGAATAAGTGGTGCTAATCAACTGAGGAAGTGGAAAAAAATGCTTTCCTTTATAAACTAGTACTGAGAAGGAGGGAAATGAGATATAGAGATAAATTTTTCAACAGTTTCAAGCCTTTAAATTATGTAGCTTATTGTTTTTAAAATAAAGACTTCACACCTCCCCCCAGGAAACCCCATCCCACTTTTTAAAAGGGATTTGCAAAAGAGAATCATCTAAAATTGCCAAATGAACTTAAAATAAACAACTCTGTGCCACTCCTGTAGCTTATTGCTTTAACAAACATAAAAACATTAAACTTGACTAATCATTTCATAAATGCAATGTCTTCAGATAAATTCTATATTTACTGCGAACATTTTACACCTCTATTTTGCTTCCAAGAGACTAATGAGATTGCAGTTGTCAATTCAAAGCACAGTTACAGATCAAGAAACAAAGCCAGAGTTGATGTCACATCACTAATGCAGCAACGCCCTGTCTGTGCCTCTCCCCACAATCCCAAATGACTGTCATAGCAATAATCTGCAAAGGCCTGTGAGAATAAACAAGTGGATACAACAGTTACCATACCAAAACCAGTAACAGCACCCACTTTGATTCAGAGGTGGTAACCTAAAAAATACATATTTGGTTGTCTTAAAACTTTCATTAGTGTAAGACCTTGAAAAATTATGTGTCTACAATATAACTAACTCTTTAAAAGCCCTCCCCCCAAAAGTAACTATTCATTTTGAATCGGTATTGATAGGATAAACTGTGCTAAGGAACTTCTGCATGACTGAAAGGTGGCAGAACATTCTACTGTGTCATACAAAGTTCGACTTAGAGTAAGACTATTCATTAAATCAATGATTTCTTTTAAGTGCGAAGATACAAAGCAATCTTTGACGTGATCCACGCTGAAATGCTTTTTAAATTAATATAGCAATAGCTGTAATTTGCTGAGTATTTCACTGTTTGTCAGACAGTGTGATAGGCATCTAAATGTATTTACACAGGCTTTAATCCTCATGAGATGACCCTGTAAGGTTGACACTTCTAAGTGTGATTTAGGGAGAAGGAAACTGAGGCCTAAGTAAGTTAAATAACGTCACTTTAGAACTGAAGCATGCCTTGTCCAAAGCTCTCTTAACGAATGACTCAGTCGCCTCCCTAATTTTCCTTGAATTCGCATCATGTATAAATAGAAAGAAGGCTGAATATTATGTTACTGTATGTTGCACAATGCTTAGTAAATGATGATGATTACAACAGAACCACATTTTTTCTCAATCCCTCACAGTTCACTATTGGAATAAATGAGTGTGAAATAAGTTTTAAAATGAAATCTGCAAATGCAGATGTCAAAGATTCCAGAAACTATTAGTCAAATGACATAATTGACAGGGGGCAAACTAATTAAATGTAAGGTGTAGTATAACTCCAAGGGAATACGTAATGAAAATAGAACTGTAGTCGGAACTGAGATTTGAAATTCACTCTCAGATCCACCAACTTGTACAACTTTGGCCCAGTCATTTAACTACCAAAGTTCAAACAAGAGAGAGGGACTAAAACACTCACCTTAGTGTAATACATCATGATTTTTAACTAGCTCTTAAAATAGACACATTTGGGAGAGAGAAAGAGATTGCTTAAATCCTAAATTTTTGTTACAAGAAACACATTGAGGAATAGGGATTTATATTTGCTATGCCAAAATTCCTTCAAATCCGGTAGGAACAGATGTTCTCTAAAAAAAGTTTTAATAATAACAACAGCGTTTTACATACATTACAGCTCCTTCTGACTCCAAACGCTGCGCCCTTAACCTCACCATAATCTTACCTAAATCACTGTAAGTGATGCCTCCGCTGTGTTTTTACTATGAAAACTTAAAAATTCGAAATAATAACGAGTGTAAAGCACCCAACACGGAACCAAGCATAATGCAGAAATTTAATAGTTACTTTTATTTCAGCATTATTTGTATTATTAATATGACTTCTCATATTGGTAAAAATCTTGTTTGGGTTATATTGGACCAACACAGAAAGTGCTGTGATCCACATTCTCTTTTAACTGTAGCAATTACTAAACCATTCCAAAAACCGGGATTCTTTGAGACAAGAATACTTTGTAGCAAGCACCACTGTGGTTTATATAGCAAGTACTACGCCTAACCACGTAATTACAATACAAACAACTAAACTGCTTTCTGGAATTAGCCACCTTGACCTTTCTATGGACTTCTCTCCAGAAATAGACCAGACACCGAAAACATAAAGCTCTATTAAGGGTAAAGACCTAGATAGCCACAGCACCCCTTGAGAAACTGACACGGAGGCACCGGCACACCTTCCCTGTCATGTACTGCAGCCCAACCAGTGCGACCCCTTCCCTGCTCCCCAGCGGAAGGGCAGCCCGCAGAGTGGCAGAGGCGCTTCGAGTCATCAGTGGACAGCGGTAACCATCCACCTACCCAACTTCTCCTCCCTCAGCAGGCAGGGCGTTTCTAGAAAGTCCAGTGTCGATAGGAGCACGGGAATTGGGACACAGTGCAGGGCACGCGAGGGGTTTGCGCTAGAGGCGTCACAGCCCGGCTCTCGCAGAGCAAAGGAAGCGGCGCTGGAAGTGAGAGCCCAGCCAGGTACCTTGAGTCCAGCGGCAGAAGATGGTGTCGGAGAGACCGGGGCTGCTCTTGGTGCCCCATACCAGCTCCATCAGCTCTTTAGTCAGTTCGGACATGATGGGGTGCTGGCGGGCGGGTCTTCGCTTTCAGGACTCCTGCCCCGGAACATGGGGAAGGAGCGACTTCGGAGGCAGGAGCTGCGGGACGGCGGCGGCGGCAAAGCAGTTTGAAGGTTAGGCCGGGGGGGAAAGCCGAAAGGGCAGAGCTACTTGCAGGGACCGCGCCTGTCAAGCTGGATCGCAGCGGCAGGAAGGAGGTTTCCG